TCTCCTCAACACTCCTTAGGTTTCTTCTGCCAAGATGTTTATTTCAGTGGAAAGAAGCCTGAATTGTTCACTTGAAGTTGTCAAAAACAGCTATTTCAATATGAAGCCCTCTAAGTTCATGTGATGCAATGTTAAATCAGCATCACAGCTATTTTTTTTTCAAGAGTATTTACATCACACATCCTTTTCTTCATTTTTTAGACTCTTGGCAGTTACAGTGCTTGCCCATCCCAGCCAGTGAGTCAGTGGAAAGTAAACTCTCTTCCATATCTACCCCCACCCCACCAAGTAGATTTATGTGTCATAGTTGTTCAGTTTCCTTCAAACATACCATCTGTCCCCCATCCTGTCAATCAAAGTTCTTCTGGTTAGCCATTTAAAATTAGCTCACCCTCCTTGTCCTCAAAATTTTTCTCACGATCTATTGCGGTTTTTGTAGACCAGCCTCTGATTAGGGATAAGCCTCCCAGAAATAAATAAATAAAAAAATATTTGAATCTCTTTCAACTTAGAGAGAACAGGCTACTTTTTTTTTTCTCTGCCGTTATTCCATCCAGGAAAAAAGGAGGACATTTTTTAATTTCAATTTGGCCGACTCTTTGTGGAGAACTTTTATTTATTTCCACTCTGTGATGTCTCCCTGGCTTGGGGAGGCTGAGAGGATCCTTACTAAAACACTACACTGCCCGAGGCAGGAACAGGCCTGAGATCTCGCCACATAAATAACACAGGATCGTGGAGGCAGCCCGTTTGGTGGTCTGCTGCAGGGATAGAAGCAACCCTTCAGTCTGTGGCTCTGTCCTTCTCTTCTCATGCTCAGTGTCTCAGAGGTCTAACAGTTTGACCATAGAGGCATAAAACAGCAGGATCTAGAGACTATTGAGCCAAGTTGTACATCTGAGTGAAGAGCAGACCTCCAATAGCCTGCAGGCGTAACCCAGACAGAGTGGATGCATCAAACTAACCTGGCACATGGGAGGGAGAGATTTACGAATTTGAGGAGAAAAAAAAAAGGAAATGTGTTAGGACAGCAGACCATATTTATTTTTTACTGCTAAATTATTATTTATAACATGTTGCCATTTTTTCTGTCACACATGGTGGATTATAGGTTAAGGTTCAAATGTTTTCAGAATAATAGTCTTGTTACAAACTGGATCAGTCGCTGGGTTTGGTACAAATTATATTTCTAAATGGCAAGCAATCAACTAGGTGTAGTGGAGCAATAGAAAAGCAGCAGAGCTAAAAGTCAGGACATGCATGCTGCTATTTAACTGAAGTTTGTTAGAAAATTAAATAAAAAAAAGCATCAGTGTAGTCAGTAATAGTGTTAAAAAAGTGATCTTTGTTTAAGGTCAAAGGCAAGAAATCTTAGACATGCTGCTAGCTGCTAGTCCTCTAAAAAAAATTCATATTTGTACAATAGGCCATTCCTAAAATTGTTTATAAAGACCTGCTTTGCATAAAAATGAGATGATTGAAGAAAGAAAAACACTAAGAAGTCAAGAAAATAATAGTTTGGTTTGTAAAAAAAAAAAAAAAAAAAGCAGAGAAGATTTGAAGAAAAAAGTGATTTTGATGGATTTAAAGGCTCAGGTAATGATAAATTTGATCATTATATGGGGATATTTTCATACAATAGTGTCATATCTTTAGACGTTTCTAGACTTTAGACAGATTTTGTCATTTTGTTTACACAAGTGTAAAACAAAAAGAAATTTCGTTTGGAAACAGCTCACTGGACAATTTCAGCTTTTAAAAGTGCAGCCTTAAAAAATAGTAAAAATGACTATAAATTTACAGTTCTAACAAATATTTTAAATTTATTTAATATCTATGTTATCAGTTTCAATAAATAGGAACAGCTGGGTATGTCATGTTACTCTGCTGAATAGGAAAGGCTGTTTATGTTTTTTTTTTTTTTAAATGGAACTGCAAACAGACAAGCATCGTGGTTTTAGACCAGGCATCACCAAAGTCGGTTCAGAATCAGAAATAATCCCAGAGGGAAATTACTTTTGTTACAAGCTCCAGTTACAGTTATATTTATATCTATCTATCTATCTATCTATCTATCTATCTATCTATCTATCTATCTATCTATCTATCTATCTAGATATATCTAGATAGATAGATATACACAACCAACAACACAGGATAATAAAGATATAAATATTTACACATATAACTCTTCTGTATATCTATATATATGTATGTATATGCATATGTATAACAGATTTTAGAGGTTTGTCTGCTTTAGCACAGCCGAGTCTGATGATTGCAGTTCCGCAAATGTCTGTTAATCAGCTTCCAAAGTAAATCATCTTTGCTGGAGCAAGGAAATCTCTAAAACCTGGAGGACAGCGGCCCTCGAGGACCGACTTTGGGGATGCCTGTTTTAGAGCAACGGTTTAAGCTTAATTAACATTGCGGAGGGTTAATCCTGAGCCACAACGGGATGGAGAATCTATTAAACTACATCAAATGTGCTGTTTCTGATTAAAAACTGAGAAATCCAAAGGAAATCTGGAATGTAGTTCAATTATCCTGGTCTGGAGTATTTGTTTATTGAGGTGAGCAGTGACAACATAAAGTACCACAATGTGAAAATCAAAATAATAATAAAAAAAATATTTAAAGTCTATTAATCATTATTAGTTTCTCAAGTACAGGAACATTTAAAAAAAATTTTTTCACTTTCTGTATAGGTATTGCGTATTCTATCATTCACTCTTTGTGATTTAATTTAGATCACAGTGTACCGCATTCGGCATACATTTGTCTGTATAGAAATTAAAGCTTTAAATAGCTTTACTTGGTTTTTCAGACTCGCTGCTATAACTGAAAATCAAACTGTACGTTATCAAAGCTGGATGCTTCTTTCAGATCAATCTACTCCACAACCCGAGCCGCTGCCTGCCCAGGAAGCAGCTTCTCCAAACTGACCTTATTGGGAAAGCGCTCAGGAGAGTTATTCTTATTGTTGTGACAGGAACAATGAATCTAAAAGTGGTAGAGTCGGAGGGGGCAAAGGAAAACAAACCACAAAAAAAAAACATGTCTGTTCTCAAAAATAATTACATGGAAGCTATTTATTTCTGTATTTGCATTGACATCATGGAAATCTTGTCAGCTGACTTTGATGCCAGTACTTGTCTTTGAAGTCGGTTTATAAAAAGATGCATTTAGCGCAAACAGCTTAATTTATAGGAGCTGACCCTGGCTACTCTTTGTTGAAACAGCCATCTTGGAAAACAATGGCAGGAAGGCTTGAAATTTAAGAGGAACTGAATCTGCTATTTTCCATTTATTCTGCTCTTGTTCAATGGACTTTTTTCCCCTCCTTGTGTAAAATAGCTCTATGTTTTTGTGTCCAACAGGAGCCATAAACTGATGTCTGGGCATACCATGGTCAGGCAATAGGGTTGGGTTTAACTAGACACATGGGGACAGTTGTTTTGTACGACAGGGGTGAGGTAGGTGGTGGTGGTGGGCTGACAGAAGAAGCCTTTGCTGCCTGGCGACCCCGTGGTGACCTAACGGCCTCTTCTTGGAAGGATCAAGGCCTGGAAGAGAGCTGGCTGAGGGTTAGAGGTTTAGGGGTAACAAATCAAGCAACACTTTAAGGGTATTTAACCCCCCCATGTACCCTAGCCTTCTAACCGTGTGAAGAGTTCATGCCTGCAGAAAAAAACACTTATTTTTATTCTGCATTATGATTTTATTTTCAGTGTGAAAAAAGTGAGTCAAATATCACAATTTTTTCATCTGACTAAAGCTTTAAATTAACTTTCAGATGAGTAGCAGGGGAGATATAGAGCCTGGCTGATAGAAAATAAGATGTTATCATTTGTATTTGGTTAAATCCTGCGGTTAGAACAGGGGAAATTATGTTTCTCTCACATTAGGTTCTTTATCCTCTCACTTTTTTCCTCTTATGTTTTTGTAGATCATAAAGGGGAGAATGGAGACCTACAGACAGGGCATATGACAGCTTCAATCATGGTTTTGTTCCATTTCCCAAAACTCAGCTGTTTCTTCCCTCAGCATCTCTCCATAAAGTGTGCTGAAGATGATCACTACTGTGCTCCCTGGTTTTTCATGGTAATTAGATGTTTCCACCAACTCACATAACCAGATATAATAGACACCTGACAAGACATTATACAAATGAGTTTGACTAAACATTTTCACTAATAGTTGGCAAAGAGGGAAACTTTTTAAAATGCAAACTAAGTGGTTGCATTTGTCCTGGTGAAGACTGAAATCTATTAAAAGGAAAATATTTGCATTTGCAATTAGGAAGCCTGTGTTGCTTTGTTCAGAAAACCAAAGTTTGACTTTCGAGTAAAACAAATCGGTTTTAGGTCATTTTTAAGCTGTTTGCTTTTTATTATTTACATAATTGTGTGTTTATGTTTATCGCAGCGCTCCAGAGCTGCACTCTATATAGGACTAACATGTAAATCCTTTGCTGCAGCTGCAAAACGCGCGTTCGGTGGAAACGTACCTTTATAGATGTGCAGTGGTTACTAGAACCAGAGCAGGAACATTTTTAGGTGTTATGTTAAAAAAACAAAAAAAAACTCATTTTACAGTCATAGCAGATGAAATTAATTCTAGCAGGCTGTCAGGTAAACTATCAGATTGACTGGCTGTTTCCTCTGGCTGCTTGGTGCAAATGGTACTGCACTCCGGCCCATTAACCACCTGTTGCTGCACACTGCTGGTCAACTTGCTGAAAATAACCAAAGAGCAGCTTAAATCATTTGCATCATGGGTTGTTCAGAAATAGTTGGCGCGGTAAAATGAGCAAAACCCAGATCAACTATCGGACACATTCCAGGAAAATCGTTCTCACATAAATTTAATGAAACTGTTATTTACACCTAAGGTTATCATGTGAAAACAGTATAAACAGTATAAGATTAAATATATAATGATTTCGTTATAACTCACCGGTTAGTCTAAATGAATTAAGTATACAGTTTTACTACATATGCAGTTTGAAATAGGGTTTATTTAATTAATTAAAATCAAAAAGTTCACTTACATTGTAAAATTATATAATAGCTCAAACACGATACATCAGAGCTTTTAGAAATCTTAAAAGCAATCAGATGAGAATATGTCCTTAGAAGGATTAGAATAATACTAGTTGCAGTGATTGACAGAAAAAATGCCAACTATAGAAAAAGCAGTGTTAGAACGATGTACAGAAATAAACATATAAGAGGGGTCGTTGGGAGGGCAACCTTAATCAGCACTGATCCTGTTTACCCCCCTGCAGAGTGACTGAGAGGGCACCGAGTGACGTAGGTGAGAGACAGGCGCCCACCCAGACCCCACCTTCCTTATCTGCCCGGTGGAACGGAGACGGAAGCAGTGAGAAAGGCCAGGGCTTTGGGTGTGATAAGAGAGGGTCTTGTGTCCTGCCTCAGCCCTGGCCGTCCACTGAGAGGGGCCATCCAAGGGCCAGGTGGTGACCACAAGCAGAATCTGGCCATGCACCGTCAGATATCCAGAACGCTGTTGTGTGTCTCCATGAGGTTGCGTTGGCGCAATGAATGGGAGGAAGAAAGACAGATACAGATGGTGAGAGGGGGTCAGGTGGAGTTCAGGGCAGATTCTTGCCAGCTGCATCATGCTGCAGGAAAGCCTAATTGCTTCCGGATCTACAGTAGGAATCCTGCCCTGCATAGTTCAGTGTTCCTGCCCTTCCCACCTCCTAGCCTTTCTGCATCTTTTGTCTCTTTCAACGCCCAGTCTTTAATTTGTTTGGTTTTCCCCCTCCACTACTGAACTTCTCTCACTCTTTGTCCTTTTTCTGGCTTTCAGGCGTATGCTCCTGCTGGCTGGCGTGGCAGAGTGTCACAATGTCTGTAGGAAAACAGTCTTTGAGTAAGATGCCTCTGTCTCTCTGGCAGTCCAGCTCCTCTATGAAACCGTACCAGTAGATCACAAGGCCAGGGCCAAACCTGTGACACACAACACATCAAATATATGGGTTATTTCACCTTATTTCTGGAAAATAGTAGTTTTTCAAAGCAGTAACAGAAGAGCATCTAAAGATGCTAAAATCTGTAAAAAGATGTGACCAACAAGTGAGTCGAACCTGCAGAGCTAAGGTAGTGTTGGTATTGGCATTTGATCAAGTGCTGCTTTGTGCAAATTGCAAGTTTAACACAGTTTTTCTTTGACTTTCAACCTCTAAGAAAGAAAGTAATAAAGAAAAAAACCCCAAAACATTTAAAATTCTTAATTCTGCTTTCATGTGTATCAGGTTGGGGTCATTCAAATCATAAAAAATAATAAATACTTTGAAAACTAATTTTAGGGGATCCTTAAATCATTCTCTTCATTACTTACAGAGCTGTCTGCACTTCAAAACACTGGAATCTAAGTATGACATTTGTCCTTAAAATATGTGCACTTTCTATTGAATTGAGGGGGAAGTGACACACTTTGCCAATGGAACAAGATCATTTATATTTAAAATAAGAAAAAACAATTACTTTGTCTCATTTCAAGTGCATATTATCTAATTATCTTCTTTAGGAGTAAAAATACTAATTCCATTGCCAAATTATCTTATTTACCTACTCAAATTAAGGGTAAATATACCTAATTTAAGAAATCCTGACTTATTTCTATATCTTTTTAGCAGTGTGTGCGTACGTCCACTCAGCATCTATTACAACTACAAATCTGGAATATTATATAACATATAAGACATCAACATAAGAGTGTCTATGATTTGGAAATGGGCCAAAGACAACAGGCTACAGTCATTATGATAACATTTTTTGCAACAGATTCTGAACTGGTTTAGGTCTGGACTTTGACTCATTCCAAATATGCTTTATTTTATGCCTCTCAGTTGTGGCTCTGGCTGCATGTTTATGGTATTTGCCATGTTAATCTAGATACTGGATGATTTATTATGTCATGTAGTAAAAGAAAGTCTAGACTACATTTTTATTCAGAAACCTTTTGTGCTGATATCCACAATTAAAATTCAGCACAGCTAATTGCTTTTAAAAGACAATTATTGAATAGTTAAAAAAAACAGAGGTGAAGATGGAGGTAATTAGACCGATGAAAAACCGTTGGAGGCTGTAAAGATTTGCATTACTTAGGATAGAAAGATTCTTACTATCAAAACTATAAAACTATTTTTGTTGAACATTTTTTGTATATGTAAGGGTAAATGTGTCCAACACATATCCACAATCTAATACATCTTTATATACCGTAATCTTCGGACTACAAGCCGCAACTTTTTCCCAATTTTTTGACCTTGTGGCGTATATAACAATGCGGCTTATCTATGGACTTATATAGCTAACGGCCACTAGCGTAATACCTATCCATGGATTTTACCATCCAACATGTTGACATCACATTTGCTTCAACACACAAGTACGGTAGCCGCGTGCGGTGGAATGCGAAGGTCCTCCTGAAGCAGACTTCTACCGTGAGTGGTACGAGACAGAACGACAGCGAGAAAGACGGTCATTAAACATAAAAAACCTGCGGCTTATAGTCTGGTGCGGATTGTATATGTACAAATCATGCAATTTAGCTTCTGCGGCTTATATTCAGGTGCAGCTAATAGTTCGAAAATTACGGTACTAAATAATGTCCACTAAATATATGGATCTCATTTTGATTCAAACATCTTACCTCTTTGTACGTGCCTCTTTTTTTTATAAAAACATATTGTGTACCTCACCATTGCTATAAAGTACATTAGTTTAACTCATAAATAAATCTGATGTTGATTTCCCCAGCATTTACCAATTAAAACTTTTATGCATGTTTCAAATTTGCATTCCTTATCTTTTGTTTGTGTTCAGCTGAGTATTTAGTTCTGTATTTAAAATAAATTATCATCTTTTCCAAGAGAGAGTCATAATAATCTTGATTTTCTTAATCTTTGCACCTTCTTATATAATAATAAATAAAATCCAACATGATTCAATTTCACTTTCACAAATAAACAATGGTAAAAATCATATGTTTTATTTTTCTTTCATTTTTGCATCAATATGCGTCACATAAAACCAGAACACAATCCACTGAAGTTTGCGGCTGTAATGTGATAAAATGTAAAAAACTTCAAGGTGGATGAAGACTTTCTTCAAGACGCCGTAGATCGTTCATACCTATTGTTTAAACATTAACTGCCATGCATAAAAATATGTTGGCGTTGAACTCTGAGCACTTCACCTCCCTTGTGCAATACCAGATTGTGGGGGTTGACAGAGCTCCAGTCCCAGATACTCCATCCTCAGACAGTTAACAATGCTGCAGGGCCTCAGGAGACCTAGAGAGGAAGCTAGCCAAGGGGCCATGAGAGCAGTGGAAGTTCAGTTCCAAGGTAAAGTACATAAAACCTTGGACATGCGATTAATCTTTTGGTGGTGTAACTTCACTTCAACAAATTAATTCTTTGGGAATCGTATCTCGTATGGTTATTTGAGATTATTGTAAATACCTTAATGTCTGGCTTTAAAAAAAATGTAAAAATAAAAGTTTCACGTCTGATTTGTGGTGTGCATGTGCAGCGCTGCGTTGACGGAGCCTTGAGGCGGTGCATGTTTTACATACAGCATTTCTGTGGAGACAGACATGTTCAAGAAAACATGCAGCTATACACGTTCATCCCTCCCTCTGCACGGCCCTTGCAGCAGTACATGCTCCTGCACACTATCCCTGCATCCTAGGCTTTACAGTGAGTGATTTACGGTGCTGTATCTAGGAGCAAACGGCCCTGAAGTAAGCCTGCAGATGAACACTCCAAGTTCAAAACAATGTCACAACGCACACACACAGCTTAGCCTCTCAACGCTGCAAAAAGCTCAAAGCCCCAAAACTCCCATCATTTCCACGGTCCACTGCTGCACATGGCCACCAATTCTTAATATGGAAATGTTATGGAGACGCAAGCTAAACATTTACATTAAGACGATGACTTCCTTTCGTATGAAAGCGATGCTGTATGGATTTCCCGTGCTCTAGATGAGGAGGCGAGACAGAGCAGAGGAGAAAAGGGGGACTGTTCTCAACAGAGTGGAGAGGAGCAAAACCTCTGAAAAGGTTAAAACTGTAGATCAACAGATAAGGCGGTGGTCCGCGATACATCATGTCCCAGGTCCGTCAGGGGAGGCCAAGTACAAATTGAAACTAGCAAAATTCTAAACACAGGGGAGTCATGCCACCAAGGCCTTTTCATACCGTAAAGAAAATAAATAGAGTCTGAAACCTGCTCAGCATTAATACAAGTCAATACTACGGGGACCTTGAGGCAAAAAGCTAACACATGGAAGAAACAATAACAGGGAGGAATGGTCAGGCAGGGAGGACGACTACAGCACGACGACTACAGCATGAAAGTCTTTGGAATAATAACAAACAGCATGCAAGTGCACCTAAAAGTCATTATAAATGCACCCAAGGATACTTTATATGCTACTCTGCTGCATATTGGCTCTTTAAAGGTTTAACTGTAGATGAAGTGGGAAAAAAAAGTTTAGCTTAAATTTGAAGGCAAATGATGGCCTATTATGTAAGCTTACTCTCCTTAGCCTGGTACGTGCTCATTACAGACAACCTCTAAGTGAGACAGGCCATCTTCCAATAAACACCCAGCTACATAAGGAGATTGGGAAATTGTTTGTGAAATAGAGCTAATTTCAGCCAGAAAGCCTCTTGACAAGGCTGGGCGTGGATTGCTCCTGCCAGCCGTGCTTTCGATAGTGTTAATGAACGGATGGTGGTTACATTTTAAGCAGGTTCCAAGCAGCTTACGGTAGCAGCTTAATGAGAGCAAGGCACTCTGGGAAAAAAAAAAAACAACCTCTTGAATGGTGAAGAGGCAGCGTTATTAGCTGCCAGTGCGTACACACAGTGTGCAGTGAAGCAGACAACCACTCCGACACCTTTGAATCTTAAATACTCTTTGCATAAATGCATCAAAGGCCGAGTTTCAAAACTAAATGCAGAAGTCTTTAAATTAACTTCAGCCATGCATTAAACTACAAACCAAGTTTAATTTGCCACCTAAATGTTACTTTAGATCTTTTTCTGAATATGATGTAAGCAGAAACTTTGCATTTAAAAAGAAAGTCCATCACGTTGTCTTGTCTAGAAACAGTAATATAAAAGCATGCTAACCTGTTGAGTTTAAGTGATAATTTGTGACATTTCAACTGACCTATAATCTGTACAGCCAGAAAATATGAAGGACTAAAAAACAAAAGTGTAATAACCTGCTTAAATAAGATTGCACAACCTTTCATTTAAGTGTTTTATGCTTTAATAGTTTCATAACATTCTTTTATTTTGGAAACATGCGTACCACATGTTCAGTAATATCAGGAAATATTTTCTTAAATTTCCTGCATTTACTAACGTGAAGGTAAAGACTACATTTTTTCCAAAAATACCCATGGCTTCTGAACTGGTAACATATCCAACATTGTCTGTTCTGAAGGGACCAGAACTTCTTTAAACTGGCAAATGAGCAAAGTTTTTATCTACAAGCTAGAAGACAAACGGGCTCCCTGGTAACATGAATTGCATTTTATTTGTATAATCTAACATAGTATAACTTCATAAATTCATTTTGCATTAATGAAACATCCTGGTCATTGCTTTCTCGTCATCATCCAAACCTTTATACGGTAGTTTAGGCTGCTTTGCACCCGTTTTTGGCTGCAAACTACAGCCATCAACCAGGAGATGATTAGTCATAACTTGACAAATAGCAATCTGAAGTATTTATTACAATAATAAAAAGATAAAGATTAAAGGGTTCAAGTACATTGGTATGAATTGATTTGTTACATAAATAAAATGAAAGTAAAAAGCGGTGGAGTGGCCAGGCCTGGGTATAAACTGTTATCCAGTTGGAAATTTAACTTTTAATTTAACAATTATTAAATTCAAAGTGTTGCTGCAGAAGTGTATTCTG